AAGATCATTTATTTGTAACATGTGACTTTTTTGGTGGGTTGTGGACTATTATTTTTAATTGGTTAAGGTTCTCAATGACATCTCAAGGAAAGGTTTTGGACCATTAATTGTAGTTTGGTGGTCTTGATGGGTTCTCGAAAAATAGTCGGTTGGCTTTTAACACCATTTGGTTTATTGAGGATTGAATTATTTGGAAAGAGCGAAATAAGCGTATTTTCAAGAATAAAACTGAGCAGTTGCAGACGTTATTTGAAAGAGTAAAACTTCATTCATTCTGGTGGTTAAAGTCGAAATATGCTACTTTCGTTTATGATTACCAGTTCTGGAGGTTAAATTCTTTATCTTGTTTATCAACTATTATAAAGTCTGCTATTTGATATTTCTTTAGATTTTTGGATTGTAATCTTGGACTCCTTGTCATTTTCGATACATCTTGTACTGAAGTGACTTGTTTTGATTATTAATATATATATATCATTTTAACTTTAAAAAAAATTGATTTTTATTTTCAAAAATTTTAAAATTCAGAACAATTTTTTTTTTATAAAATGAAAGTAAAAAAAAACAAGAAAAAAATATAAAGTATAACTTAATTTTAAATGGTTTATGCTACGATGAGAGACCTGAATTACGTGAGCACCTTAGTAATTTTGACCTTATTTTTTCCCAAAAGATTTAGTGGGGGTTAGTAACCCTAGAAAAATAAAAACCTCTGCAAAATATTAATGAACAATACCTTTTTTTATAAATAGTGGAGATTCTGAACTCCCATTGAAAATGTGAAGATTTTGAACTCCCATTGAAAAACCCCCGCAATTATTTTAAAAATAGGCACAAAATGAAGTCTCTCACGTGAGAGACTTATCCACATCCTGCACGGTAGAACGTATAATTTCAAATATATTAAGTAAATAATATGTATAATATATAAGTTAAATACATACTCCCTCCGTCCGAAATTATAAATAAAAAAAAATTGTTTCAAAATATAAGAGAGAAAAAAAAAATTTATCTTTTTTAAAATAAAATTGTATACAAATTATATTTATTTTATATTCTATCTCATTATTTTTATAATCAACAATCAATTAGAATTGTTTTTATATTTTTCTAAATACTTTATTCAAAAAAATCATAAGTCAAATTATTTTTTTTAATATGTAGTTTTTATTATTTTTTTTTCTGATATTTTGGAAGGGATCTATCCTATAAATTTTTTTAAAAAAATTATTTTAAAAAAATGATTATGAAATATCACCTACTCCTTACAAACTAGTAACAAACCCGTGCTATCGCACGGGTCTCGTCTGGATTCACATTACATTTATAGATTATTAAATTATTAAGTATGTTATCATGTTTTCAGTTGAGTATATGTCTCATGTAAACCATGTTGGCATTTAACTCCATATTTGTAACAAGCGTCGGTCCTATCAACAAATCACGTCTGCATGAACAAATAGGAAAAATTATATACTTCTTGAAATACATGGAAAATGTACATACTATATATTTTAATTCAAAATAAATTTTTAATTTGAATCGTAAAGTATAAGATATAAAGTTTACCAACTATCAAAGTGCTTGAAATACTTCCTTGTACACAACATTAGTAGTAGTAGAGCACGGTACATTCTCTTTGTCATGAATTAGGATTTTTAGCCCACTTTTGCTCTTAACTCTTGAAATTGCAACATATAATTGACCATGACTAAACACAGGAGTAGACAAATACAATCCAACACTATCAAGAGATTGACCTTGTGACTTATTAATTGTCATTGCATATGAGACAATAATCGGAAATTGTCTCCTAATCAACTTGAATGGCCAAGGTGAATCAGAAGGTGACATAGACATTCGTGGAATGTAAAAAATGTTACCTATGTTCTTTCCAGACATGATTTTTGCCTCAATGACATGATTTGCAAATCTTGTAACAATTAATCTTGTTCTGTTGCACAACCCATCGGCTTGGTCCAAATTTCTCATTAGTATAATAGGTGTACCAACCTTCAATTTGATCCTATGATTGGGAAGCACTGACGTTCTTAATTTACTGAAAAATTCAGGAGTTAGAACTTCATATGCTTCAGTATAACTTGAATTTGTTCTATCAATGGAATCAAAACTCAAATACTCTTTCTCTTCTCCTAAAAAAAAGTTTAAAAGCAAAACATAAATAAATTAGTAAAACTATGTTCTTAAATATATATATATATATATATATATATATATATATATATATATATATATATATATATATATATATATATATATATATATATATATATATATATATATATATATATATATATATATATATATATATATATATATATATATATATATATATATATATATATATATATTATGAATATAATAATACAGTAAATATAAAACACATGTACGTGGTATCAAGTCTAATACATAATGATTGATTTTGTCCACAACTTCAATGGTTGAAGCAAGAATAGTCTTTCCTTGTAAGAATTCAACATCTTGATATTTTTCCAACAAATTGGGATATGTGTTTTCAACAATTGCTCTTATAGGATCATCAAAATTTGATATTAATAGCTCTTAAGGAATTTCAATATCAACCAAACCATCATTGGGTTCACAAATCTTACCATCACCCACATTTAAAATCTATTTTGAAAATTCCGCTAGTTCATTAGAACTTGTGTTGACTCTTCCCTCTTGAAGTCTCATATTTTTTGATAGTGTTAAAACCTGGCAATAATCCCATACATAAGATGAACTAATTGATGCATGAACAATATCAGAACGCCCAGCTCTTGGAACAACAGGAAGAATCTGTCTAAAATCTCCTCCAAATACAACAACTTTTCCACCAAAAATAGTATTCTCAACACCCTTTTTGCTCATTACATCTTTAAGGGTTTTATCCAATGCTTCGAAGCAGTTCTTGTGAGACATAGGTGCCTCATCCCATATTATCACATTCGTTGCTTCAAATAATTGAGAATGTTCGGTGTCTTTGTCGATGTTGCAAGTTGAGTTGTCAAGCGTTGGCACAGGTATTTTGAACTTTGAGTGTGCTGTTCTTCCACCCGGCAATAATAACGAAGCTATCCCACTTGAAGCAACAGTAAGAACAATTTTTTTTTGAGAACGAAGTGCACTTGATAGTGTTCTCCACATGAAAGTTTTACCAATCCCTCCGTAACCATGCAAGAAAAATACCCCTCCACTCTGTTTGTTAACAGCATCCATGATTTTCTCAAATATCAAACGTTGTTCATCTATAAAATACAAACCAAAAATTATAAGTGCAAGGACAATAAAAATCATTTTTGTAATTCATAGTATAAAGAAAATAAATCACCTGTAAGGGCATGAAAAAGTTCTTGGAATTTCTGTTTCTCGGTATCGGCATCGTAATTAAGTTTGTCATAAATAAGCCTATTGCCAATATGTTTTGTGATGTATGAATCTGGATACGGCATACATTTAAATTCATGCAAACTTCTTCGATTCTATTGCATCATGTTCTCAATCTCAATTAGTGTGAGATTCTTTAACTCATTGTCCGATAGCTGCAATTCTGTTAAAAAAATTTCATTAGTTTTCTATATAATTACATATGTATGATGCAACTGTTGTCGTGATGTTGAAATACATTGAACATAAATCAAACAGTTGATGTTGCGGCTGCGTGAAATTAAATGGAACCAAAGACACTGTTGCAGCTGCAAGTTAAGAAAATAACTTACATACATGACAAATGACAAATATGAAAATGTTTCTTACGTAAATGGACATACCTTATGAAACATATTAAATAAGGGACATATGGATGAAGAATAATTATATTTTAAAGTAAGTTCATATCATTATATTTTGTCAACCACAAATTTTATATCTTCATAGCAAGTTGGACCTTTGACGACTGTTAGCATCATTCTCAAGAAATATAACTCACCCGTACTTGGAGGGACCCAAATAAGTCTGCCAATTGTATTTCCTCTTTTACGCGGTCTCCATCGACGGTATCTTTTATCATAAATAAATTTGGAAAGAAATTGTGAGTACGTCAAATTTTGGAAGGGATCTATCCTATAAATTTTTTTAAAAAAATTATTTAAAAAAAAATGATTAAGAAATATCACCTACTCCTTACAAATATATATCAATATCGAACCGAATCGATGAGATAAATTTATTCCTTATACTTTAAAAATTGCTAGAAATGCTAATAAAGTTTAGTGCCAAAACATCTTTGATAGGCATTTGCATTGTGAGCCACCCCTTTTTTCGACATTCAGACAACTATTTGACCGGTGGTAACAACCGGCTTAAGACGGTGACAGACCAGATACATTGTACCATCTTGTCCTTAGTCCTTACTCAAATTTGTAGATGTACCAAATTTAAATTAAATTGGAAACATCACTACCTAAACTTTAGTTTTGTTAAAATAGTAACAATTTTTGAATTATGGTATTCTTATATCAAACGTGGCAAGATATTTCCCTTGAAAGAAAAGTAACAACATATATTATCTATTATATAAGAAAATCTTAGATTAATGAAGAAATTTTTTTAATCCTTCTCCTAATTGTTGCACGTCACTGATTTAGGGTCATAATTGGTCATTTTCATATCTAATGGTAATTATTTAACTTCATATTTGAATGCAAACTAAAAAGTTGATGGCAACATATGTTATCTCAACTATATGGAGTAACTATACTGCTACAATTTCCTAACCATACATTGATTTTGCAAATCTCTTGGAACAATGTCTTTCTGTTTTCTAAAGCTAATCTCATATGTTCCATCCTATCTGTCTTTCCGCTTCTACAAGTCTTCTGTACCAATCTTTTCCTTCTACTTTTTCAGTATTTCGTTTTCTATCTCCCAACAATTCATCGCCTCCTGAAATCTTGAGCAGAAAATCGTCTTTCTGAACCGACATCCACCATTTTCCAAAATTATCCAGATAGTGAGACATTTTGAGATGATCAACGACATCACCGACCGCAAATAGCTTTTGAAAATATATCACAAAGGTTGAAGTTTCTGGTTACTTTATTTTATCTACTTGATTTTTTTTGCTGCAAATGGTTTAGGCTTTGGTACCCTAAATTTAGAGAAATTTTCAATTATTTTTGTTGCGGGTGATTTTATTGTTGGATCTATAAGGTTTTTTCTTTAAAAAGGTGAATCTATAAGGATTTTTTCTGTTTGTTTTCACTGAAATAAAAAACAAACTGACTTGTGAAGTTATGTGTGTTTTACTCGGTGAAATTATGTTGATATTATGACTTATATATTTAATAGTTATATTTCTATATTAAATATCCTCACCTTACTGTTAGAAAGGAAACAAATATTTTTATAACTTGTTATCAAATAGAATACAATATTGGTCTTTATATAGACTCAAGGACTTCTACTATTCTAGGAAAGTAAATAATATTAGTAAATATTATTATAAGTCAGTATCTCTTGGCCTTCCAATTACAATAGACTTTTAACCTTCCCACTAACTTATTAATAGAAACCCACTATTTATAACATTAAAGTTTATTCAACAAAACTCATTTGTAAACTTAAATGTTTCTTTTATCCATCATGCATATCAATTTCTTGCCTCTGTCAAAAATTTCTTTCGATAATGGTTTTGTGAAAATATTTGTTGCTTGATCCTTGCTTGCTACATGTCTCAATTTGACACTTCCTTCCTTCACATGTTCTCGAATGAAGTGGAAGTGAACATCAATGTGTTTGCTTCTTTTATGGTTTACTGGATTCTTTGCCAACTCGATTGTTGATTTGTTGTCCACTTGTATTACAGTTGCACCTTCCTGTTTTAGCTCCATTTTGCTCATCAACCTTCTAAGCCATACTGCATGAAAAACGCACCAAGATGTTGCCACATATTCATCTCCGCATGTCAAAAGTGTTACTATCAGTTTCTTTTTTGAAAGCCAGGTAAATGTGGTGTTTCCCATGAAGAACACATACCCCGAAGTGATTTTTCGATCGTCTATATCTCCGCACCAATCACTGTCAGAGTAACCAACTAACTTGTAGTCTTCTGTTCTTGAATAGAACATTCCAAATGACATTGTTACTTGGATGTACCTTAGGATTCGGTTCAATGCCTTCCAATGTGAATGTACTGGCTTCTCCATGAATCGACTTACAATGCTGATACTTAATGAAATGTCCGGCCTTGTGCATGTGAGATAGATAAGACTACCTACCAAGCTTCGATATTTGCTTACTTCGACACGTTCTCCTCCATCAAATTTCGACAATTTTGCACATGGTTCCATTGGCATCGAAGTTGGATTACAGCTTTTCATCTTATATTTTTTCAAGATTTCTTTTGCATATTTTTCTTGTGAAATAAAGATTCCAGTTTCTACTTGTCGAACCTCTAGACTAAGAAAGAGTCTCATCAGACCTAAGTCGGTCATTTCGAATTCGCGTGTCATGGTGCTCTTGAATTCTTCTATCATCTGATCATCACTGCCTAGAAAAATAAGGTCATCGACATAGAGAGCAACAAGTAATATATTACTTCCATTTTTCTTCACATAGAGGGCATGTTCATACCGACATTGCTTGATCCTGTTCTCCTTGAAATATGTGTCGATGCGTGTGTTCCATGCCCATGGTACTTGCTTCAGGCCATATAGCGCTTTCTTCAATTTCAGCACCTTTTTCTCTTCTCCAATCCTCATATACCCAAGTGGTTGTTCGATATAGACTTCTTCTTCGAGTACACCATTCAAAAATGTTATCTTTACATCCATTTGAAATATCGGCCATTTGAATTGAGCAGCTTGAGAAATGAGCAATCGAATTGTCTCCATTCTTACAACAGGTGCAAACACTTCATCATAGTCAATTCCTGCTTTCTGTTTGTATCCCTTCGTAACAAGCCGCGCTTTGTTTCGTTCTATTTCTTCTTGAGCATTCATATTTTTCTTGAATACCCACTTTACACCAATGGGTCGACTACCTTTTGGCAATTCGACTAGCTCCCAAGTGTTGTTCCGGTCTATTGCTCTAATATCTTCGTCCATGGAACTTTTCCACTTCTTGTTTCGTAACGCTTCTTCGAAATTGATGTTTTCAGCATCTGCCAGAAGGCACACAAGGTGTACCTCATTTTTCGAATCATATAAATCTTACAAACTTCGCATTCTAGGTTGTAGAGGTTCATCTTTATTTTCAGTATCTTCATGTTCTGTTGAAATGCTTGTTGGTACATCAACAGATGATTCTTCGACTGCGTCAATAACTTCTATCAAATTGTTCCAGTCCCACTTGCTCGCTTTGTTTATTCTAACATCTCTACTCACGATCACTTTCTTGCTTATGGGGTAAAATAACTTGTATCCTTTTGTCTTCTCATCATATCCAATGAATATATACTTTTGAATTTTGTCTTTAAGTTTCGTTCTTCGTTGATCTGGTACATGTGCATAAGATACACTACCAAATACTTTGAGATGAGAAACTGTTGGCTTCTGTCCGCTCCATGCTTCTTGTGGTGTTTGATCTTCTAACTTCGAATGTGGACATCGATTCTGAACATAAATAGCACATTGTACAGCTTCTACCCAGAATTCTTTCAACATATTCTTGATCTTAAGCATTGATCGAATCATGTTAAGAACAGTTCGATTCTTTCTTTCAGCCACACCATTTTGCTGAGGTGAATATGGTGCAGTTAGGAATCTCCTTATGCCCTGCTCTTTATAATACTTCATAAAGGTCGTCAAAATGTACTCACCACCTATGTCAGATTGAAATGCTTTGATATGTCTGTCGGTTGCCTTCTCCACCATTACTTTAAACTATTTGAACACCTCTAATGCTTCAGACTTTTCTTTCAAGAAACAAACTCAGGTCTTTCGTGAGAAATCGTCGATAGAGGAAATGAAGTACCTTTTTTCACTGAAGGATTCTGGAGTGATTGGCCCACATATGTAGGTATGAATCAATTCAAGAATATGTTTAGCTTAATATTCTTCCTTCTTTTGAAATGAGGTTCTTGTTTGTTTGTTGAGCACACATTCTTCACAAAATTTTCCTTCATAATCCATGTCTGGTAGTCCGTGCACCATGTTCTTTTTCGCCAACCTTCTCAAAACAATATGATGTAGATGACCAAAGCATATATGCCATAGTGACGCTTTGTCTTGCTTGTCGACTTATAGACATTCCTCTCGAATGTTCCTCGGATTCAGTTTATACATTCGATTTCTTTCCATTTCGACATGGGCGATCAGATGTCCTTCTTTGTCCTTCAAATGCAGTATTCGATCTTTTATAAGTATCGAAAAACCTTTTTCTGTAAGTTGTCCCAAACTCAGGATGTTGGTCTTGAGATCTGGTACATAGTAAACATCTTGGATTGATCCAATCAACCCATCCTTCTGTAAGTAACAGATTGTGCCCTTTCCTTCGACCTTCACTTTCGATGCATCTCCGAAAGATACATTACCATCTTCAATTTTTTTCATTTCTTTAAATAGGTGTTTGTAACCACACATATGATTACTTGCTCCTGAGTCAAGATATCAAACATGGTCATTATTCGTGTTGATTTCATTTTGAGCCATCGGGAGAAAACCTTTATTTGCTTCAACTTCCAAGGCTAGATTGGTTGTTTCTTCTACCTTCTTTTCGATTCGAAAATGTTTTGCAAGATGTCCCACTTTATCACAGTTATAGAATTTGTACGAATTCCAATCCTTCGCGTAATGACCATACTTCCCACACTTGTAGCATTCGAAGTTGGAGTGGTTCGACTGACCACCTCTTTGACCATGTCCTCTGCCACGCTAATTTTTTGGTTCGAATGTCCTCTCTCGAAGTTGCTACCTCGACTATTGTCACGACCTCCATGGCCACGTCCTCTTCCTCGAAAGTTTTGAGAAAAGAGTACCTTTTCGTATTTGATCGACTCCTTGGTTTGATTTGCTTCCTCGACTTCTTCTTCCTTCTTTTTCATCTTACGTTGTTCATGTGCTTCGAGAGAACCAGCGAGCTCTTCGACTGAGAGCTTCGAAAGGTCCTTCGACTCTTCTATTGCACACACAATATTCTCAAATTTATCTGTTAAAGATCTCAAAATATTTTCAACAACTCATGCATCAGTTATTGTTTCGCCACTTCTGGTGAGTTGGTTCACTACCTTTTGTACATGTGTGATGTAGTCAGATACATTTTCTGTCTCCTTCATCTGCATCCTCTCCAATTTGCCACGAAGAGTTTGGAGTCAAACTTGCTTCACTCGGTCTGCTCTTTTGAGCACTTTCTCTAACGTGTCCCATGCTTCTTTCGACGTAGTCGAACTGATAATCTTTTAGAAGCATGATTCGTCAACAACCCTGAACAACATGTATAGTGTCGTTTTATCCTTCGATCGCGTCTCTTTCAACACCTTAGTTTGAGTTGTCGTATGTCCCGCAACATATGTTGGTTATTCAAACTCATCTTTGGTCACCTCCCACGCGTCTAGAGATCCAAGAAGAGTTTTCATTTGGATACTCCGGTTTTCGTAATTTGACTTTGTTAGCCGTGACAACGACATTTGATTCATCATGTTTGTCATTAGCTTTGATACCAATTTGTTATAAAGGAAGAAAATACTTTTATAACTTGTTATCAAATAATACAATCTTGGTTTTTATATAGACTCAAGGACTTCTACTATTCTAGGAAAGTAAATGATATTAGTAAATACTATTATAAACCACTATCTCTTGACCTTCCAATTACAATAGACTTTTAACCTTTCCACTAACTTATTACTAAAAACCCATTATTTATAACATTAAAGTTTATTCAACACTTACAACAAGTTTCCATGCAAGCTGGGCCAATTATTAACAAGAATGCAAGAAACCTTGCAGTTCGGAGATTGTCGAGTGGTTTTGTTGTTGTTTCTAAGTTATCCCTTGTCGGTCTGAATATATGTTTAATTTATCATTTATCATGTACATGAAGATGTTTGGTGGATACAATTCTTTGCCCAGTTTTTTTACCTTTCATGTTCTGAAACATCCGACTATCTTTTTCTTTGGTGGATATACACTTTCAAAAATGTCAGTTATGACCTATTCTTGACTACATCTGCTTGAACTGGTAGAATTCAATTGATTCAGTTTGTTTGTAGGAATTACTAAATGCTTTGCTAATATTTTAGCGGTACATGTTCAGCATGTTCAGTTTTCAGGGCACATGCAGACTACTTGAGGGTCGAAATTCAAACACAACTGAGTATTTTAGACCTTCTAATTTAGAGAGACGTTGAATTTGTTAATTTTGTTGATTTGATTTTTAGGAATCTAATGAAATGTGCTTGTCTCACAGTGAACAATCCTAAAAAATCTAGACCAATGCTATTGATCTCATTTTACACTATTATGTTCTACCGAATTATTTTTATGTTTTCGGGATGTATGTTTTCATGTCCCTAAATGCACATGTAAATGCACACAACTTATGTTTTTGACATTGTGGCTTTTATGCAGCTCAAACTGGTCTCTAAGAAAGATTCCTAGACGGAGATGGTGTCCTTTTTTGAGAAGCAGTTGTCTCAAAAGGAAGCTATCAATGCTCTTCCTCATTATCCAAATGAGCAGATTATGTGGGATAAAAGTGTTGTACCTAGCATAAATTGTGAGGCTGGAACCAAGATGGAAGCAGTAGCATCTCATCTATATCAATAAATTTTCTCTTTGATAACCTTTAATATTACTCATTTAGCTTCACTTTTCTAAGTTTAAGTAGCATTTGTAGCCGATGTAGTTCTCACTGATAAACATATATATTTTGAGTCTGTGTAGTATGAACAAACAACTTTGCAAATTATTGGGTTTAAAGCCCTCATCAATGGTGTTTGACACTTTCATTAGTTATTGAGTCATTTATTTTCATTAGTAATATTGACACATTTATCTCGTGATATACATGAAGAATAATTGAGTCGTCTAACACAAGCCACACAAAGTGGTGATAATGTGGATGGATCAATACAGTGACATCTACCTAGTATAAAATTGAATTTCAAATTAAATAATGATATGCATTATAGTATCATAAAACATTTATAATTGGAAACAACTAACACTCCATGAATGTGTTTAATAATGTTTTCAATTAACAAAAATATTAAATTGGTGATTTGTCTCTATCATAATATCATGACATCCGTTGGTGGTTTGCACAACCATTGTGACCATTCTGACAGTTTTTTATCAGTTAATATACTTTAAATTAGTCTGTTTGAAAGTAATAATTAACCACTTTCAAATTTAATAATAAAAAGTTACATCACTTTAAAGTTTGTGTTAAAAGTTGTAACTACTATTTTAAAGTGATAAATAATAATTTGTCAATTATATTATTTTTTTTACATATTGTTTATATGAATGGGAAAATAAAAAATAAAAATTTATCAATTCAGTATATACATGTTAATATTTATGCAAATGTACAGGTAACATATATTATACAAATGCACAGGTGACACACTAGTATTTATGTGAATGTACGGATAACACATCAGTATCGTGCGAATGCACAAGTATCACACCACATCCGTGTGAATGCATGGGTAATCATATCAGAATTTGTGCGAATCTACGGGTTAGTACATTTTTTTACTATTAAAGAAAATAAAAATAATGTACGAATTCAAATATAAAAAATTATTTTTCATTTAAGATACAATATTTTTTAAGATAATATATAGAAAATTAAAATATATATTATTGATGTAAAATAATTTTATTTTTAAATAATAATAATTTTTTTAAATAATAAATTATTTTAATAAAATAATTTTACTTTTCTCATTTATATTTATATTATATTTTGAAAAACAAATATACATGCATATGCACATATATCTGACTAATTTTACTAGAAAGAGTAAAACCTAAGCCATCCTTTTTATTCATTCAACCTTCTGCGTTTGGATGTATATATGAAGCATAAAACAATTTGCATGTTTAAATAGTATGTAGTATATCATAATATAAATAATGTGATTAACATTATTTGAAGAGAAAAAAATGTATTTATACGATAAAATATTTTTATATTGTCAATTAATAAGAAACATGTATTATAATAAATTATATTTTTATTTTAAAATATTAAAATAAATGTTAAATGTGAAAATTTTGATTGATTATATGTGTAAAATTTTCGTTAAACTCTTAATTTAATGTGTCAAAGTTAAATTAATATTAAATTATAATTGTTAACTTAATTTAATCTAATAGTTCGATTATTTATTTATTGAACCGATTGATATCTTGATTTTTACCCATAAATAATTATTTGAAAAACTAATTTTATTAAATTTTTTCTCTTTGATATACAAAAACTTTACCTTTCCTATTTTTATCAAAATACACAAAAAAAAAAAATTAATAATCAAAGAGAAATGTACTTCTTTGTTATGATTTTTTCAAAAATATATTTTTCAAAGAAAATATTTTTTTTGTGAAATAAATAAAATTTATATAATGAGAAGAGAATTAAAAAATTTAATAACATTATCTTATTAGTGAAAATTTTAATTAATTATCTTATTTATACAAATTAGGATAATAAATTCATCATGTGATATATTAAATGTCAATGTGAGTCATTAAATTAATAGTTATAATTAAATGTTTTGATACTTTGCTACTTTGTGTCATTTACATAACTTTTAGTTACTAATAAATGTCTAAAATTAATAATATTTACTTCTAAAAAAGAATAATTGGTTTTGTAATTAAAACATTGTATTCAACTTTTCTCTAAATAATTTATCTAATTGATCAATTCACACAATTTAAAAAAAATGTAAAATAAAAAAGAGAATAATATTTTTTACAAAAATACGTTTATAACAAATTATTGGTGTATTCATATTTAATATATATACAAAATAAAAATATTAAATTGAAAAAAAATGTAAATATTAATTAAATTTTACAATTAAAAAATAATAAAAGTTGTATTAAAATTTTTGGACTATACTTGTTCTTTCTAATAAATATGACTCCTGTCTTTTAGAAACTAGATCTCTTTCAATCTTAAAAGAAAATGATACGAAAAAGGATATTAGATGACAATATTTATGATCTTGTGTTGTATTTATGGAAGTGGAAGAACAAACCAATTTTTAAAATATAACTTTAACTCGTAGAATCAAAATGATTAATCAAAAAAATTGGCACATGAAGTCCAGCCATACATAACAAGAAAAAAACTATTGTGCAAATTAAATAATCAATTATAATCTTACTTTAAATAATAGGAAAGTCTTCATTCTTCTGAATCTCGTGTCAAATGAATTGGATGTGATGTAAGCTAATCATATCATGTAAGCTAATCATATTTCCGAGACCTTACTTTTTGTACATGTTAAAGTGTCTTATTGGTTTTTTTTTAACCTTTAGACTCTCTTGTAAAAAACAAAACAAAAAATTCTATACGTGCTATAAAACAAAGTTTATTAGAGATTTATAGATAAAACACAATTGAAATAAATTTTCGTGGTTAAAATATCATTTATTTTAAAAGGATGGAGAATTCGTTATTTAGTACCTACCATCCATTCAGCACTACACGTGCAATTATTTTCTTCTTACTAACATCGAACTCGAGTTCTCTCCAGCTGTCTACAATTTTGGTTCCATACACCAACTAGTTTGGCCACCACAACTCAACTATCTTTCCAAATAATAGTGCTTATCCAAACGTATACAACACTGGAACTTAGATAAGCCCTTTTTTATTTTGCCAACTAGTAAGTAACATGTCATAAGAATGACACTTAATCCATTGAACATTTGTTTATTTTAGTTAGCTTACAATCATATCATGTTTGCAAGTTGTAATCTTACAAGAAACTCAAAGAAATAAAATAGTATAATCTTTGATGAGTTCTACTAGTAATACAAAATTATTACAAGTTGATCCTATTACCCTTCAATGAAGTAAAATCAAACTGCAAATTTGTTCAATATAAAGGTATACTCTTGATGATTCAATGTTCATTAGTTCTTCAACCAATTCGGATAAATAAAACACGAACAAAAGCAGATAATAAAGGACACAAATGAAATTGGTCAACAAAAATGTTTGACTTGAACTTCTAACAGAAAAAAACAAGCATTGTGTTATATGCCATCATAAAAAACAAATAACCAATGAAGCATAATTTGAAATATCATAAAACTGAAGCTAGATGAAGATTATGAATGATGAGAATGAACACAAAATAATACACAACGCTTATGTGATTCAGTTGAATCAGTTCATTATCAAAGTAAAAACAAGGTACTGATAATCATTCCCCCCCAGCCCCCTTTCCCCCCACAATAGATATAGACAAATACCGCACAGGTTATCATCATTCTACAAAATTCTCCTCCATTGTTTTCTGCCTTTTCTTCCATTGATGCTGCTTGACAATCACATGTCCATTGTCAATTGTTAATTGCCAATTCAGAATGAGGAAACATAGGACTAAAATTCACCATCGACATTACAAAATCATCTGCAGCAGAAAATGTTACTATGGTTGCAATGGTTGCATTGTGCCACTTGAATTCAATCATTTTCACTATGTACTTCGACTTTGACAAACTAATATGAAGGAAGCTAAAAACTAATTTACTATTTTTAGCTTCCCCAATATAAGATCAATCTAGCATCTACCATGATCTCATTCCACTGTTTACATCCATAGACCAAGTCCTACGCGACCTTGGGGACGGATCCATACTCGAAGAATGAGGCGAATTAGTCCTCAAAGATCTCATCTCTCTACTCGAAACAACATGTCGATTCTCAACTCCACCCCCAAAACACCACAAAAAACTCCCAAAAAACCTTCTCAAACCACCACCTCTCTCCCTCCCTCTACTCCCAATAGAAGACCAAGAAATCCTCCTCGGTTCACCACCATTATTAAACCCACCATCCATTTCTGTATAAACAACAGGCAGTTCCCTCTCAGCCCCTCTCCTCCCACCTGAAAATCTCCCCACGGCAAACCCACCACCCGGCAATCTCCAAATAGTTAACCCAACATTACTCTCTTCCTCATTCAAACCAATCGATTGCGAGTGCGTTTGTGGTAATGCTTCTGATTGCGATTGTGATTGTGGTTGAACATTTACATTTGTTCCATTTGTTCCAGCATCCGAATCAGATGGTAACTCATGACGACAAACGGGGCAAGAATTATGAAGTGCAAGCCAAGGTAAAATACATTCAGGATGATAAATATGCTTACAAGGCATTTCTCTAACAACGGTAGTTAACTCAAAAGCTTCCTTACAAACTGCACAGTGCGATTCCATTTCCAAATGAGTATTATCAATTTCAATCGTCGGTAAAGAATCAATAGCCGATTTTGTCGCCGGAGGATGTTCATATCTCGAAATACCATTGATTTCAATCTGAGAAAGCTGCTCCAACAATCTATCAAATCCAGATCCAAGAAGAAACTCTGACATACTCGGAGGTAAAGGTCTTAATCCAGAACCAGCACCGTCGTCATAGAAAAGCTCAAATCCACGACTCTCTCCACCACCACCGTTGTTACCTTCTGTTACCTCCATCGATCCACCGCCGCCGCGAAGGACTATAACCGGATTAAAAGGAGATCGTTCACCACCGTTGCGGCGAGTTCTATGTATAGAAGGTGGACGGAAATTATGATTATGATCGGAACCCGAACCGGAACCAGAACTGGAAACAGAACCAGGACGTTGACCGATCATGTACATAGCTGCCGCCGGAAAACGTCGTCGGCGGGAGTCTACACGGAGAGAGCGCGACGGTTGATCAACTTCCTCGAGAAACCCGCTGTCGCAATCAGGGCAAACCACCGTTTCGTGTCTCGCTAATCTCACAAAACGACTGCATCGGTAACACCAATAAGAAACCGTCTCTGTAGACATAATAATAATCCAGATCTCAAATAATCAAAATCTGATTCAAACCTAATACCCCAAAAGTCATAAGCACTTTTCAAAAAATCATAAGCACTTTTCAAAAAATGAAGGAAAAAAAATGAGATTATGATTATCGTTGATTTTCTAGGTGTTATGAATTGGGAGGGTTTCCATGGGAGATGGGGGAGAGGAACGAAGATAACAGAGAAACCGCGTTCTAGTTTTTTCTTTCTTTCTCTTTAGCGTGTTTGGAACGCATTTACTGTGTGACACGTGGCTTTATGTGGTTGGATGGTGTTAAAACGACAGCTTGCGGAGATGAAACGGTTTCCGTTTCAGCCGAATGAATGAGCCGTTGTGTTATTAAATTGAGTTTGATTTGTATAACTGATCCACTTACTGTGTGTGAAAAATTAAACTTATGTGTGATTAATAAAATTATATGCATTAACTTTAGTCAGAAAATTAATATGCTTTCTTTTTTTATATCAGAAAATTAATATTCTTTAATTGAAAAAAAAAGTATAGTTTCGGATACTTGGGATGAAAAATTGGAACTTTTCACTTACGTATTACTTTTTTTCAATTTTATTCTTAAAATAATTCTTTCTAAGCGTATCATAGCAGAAGAGATTGTTAAAACTCACAAGTTTTAAGTTGATCGGCAGTTAAATATGAAATAGAGGGTATCTGCAAGACATTTTGATGCTAAAATAAGGTTCAGAGCAAATGCAAACAAATATGAAAGTATGAATAAATTATTAAATATCTGACCCTCTCAAGTGAAAGGATATTTATAGTCCCTAGTGATGGGCCACGATAAGGCCCAACAACGAAGATTGTCAGGGTTTACGGATGTATGGAGTCCAACATGTGGCCTTCTCCCTGGTCAATTGCCCCGAAAAAGCAGGAGTTCGACTCGTTATTCTCGGAAGACAGGATGATGATGATATGGACACGTAAGTTGCTTTCTCCTAGTGGACATGTGGGGAAATGCTCAACGGTCCTCAATTTGGGGTGCATGCTTTTGGGCCTATGGTAAAGGCGTTGGATTGGACCTCCTCAATGGTGGGGCAAGTGTCGGTCCAGTCCAGAACAGGAACCCCCCAAGTTATTGCCCTAAGATGAAAGGGCGATGACATAAGTTCAGCTCAACTGTCAGGAAAATATTGCCCGGGAGGGGAAATTGCCAACCTTCGTCGAGGATGACTCGTGTCGGGAATTCAAAAAATATGTGTGTGGTATGGTCGACCAGATCAGTGGATGGTCCATTGGTCATCTATGGTTCTAATATTGTCGGTTTGGTGCCCGTTAGGAATATATAATCATGGGATGTGAGGAGTTTCCCCGAGTATTCTTCTTTGACGCGCCCATCAAAAAGGCATTGCTATGATGTCGAGCGTTTACCCCGCCTTCAGGAGTTAAACGACATAAATGTGCTTCTATGTAAGGCTTTGTCACGATGTCATGCGTTTTCTCGCCATTAGGTGTGAAACGTCGTCGATGCACCCGTATACAAGGTTTTGTAGTGATGTCAGGCATGAGTTCTTCGTCAAGAGGGGACACGTGGTTTTGCGCGAGACTGTTGTGGGAAACGTGTGCTCTTGTCAACCCCACATGGCAGCTGTTTTGGGTGGCATCTTTTCATAAGGGAGTCCAAAAGCCCCAAGTAATAATGACTTTTCGTGTGCTTCCTCGTGAGGTGTGAACTATCTATAAAAAGGGGAGTCCACAGGCTCATTTGTCATTTTCAAGCTCTCTTCTCCTCTCTCTTATGTTCGTTCATGGATATGCTTTGTTTTAACGCCACCGTAGACGTCTTTAAAGATAATCTTCTTCCAACTAAGTTATATCTTCTTGATAACGCTTTTTCTTAGAATTTTTAGATTAAACACTTGGGTTTTGTCGTGAACGGATGAATCCCTGGATGAATATTCATGGGTTCTAAAGTGAATCTTCATGAGTGTTCATCAACATTCATGGTTGTGGATGAAGATTCATAGGTCTAATTTCATAGACTCGTTTCGGGGTCATCCTCCCCGGATAGTGGGGAGGATTTGGGCAGCTTTGTCTGTTCGACCAAATGTCCCCGCGCAGGGCATCGTTCATTCTGGTGTTGGATGTCAAGGGCTTGGGTCGCGGTCCATTCCTCGACGCATTCTTCGCCCTTTCACTTGATTTGCGGTGGAAAGATGAATTTGATGATGTCGAATTCACTGTTTTCCTCTGCTTTTCAGGTATGATGGCACACCAAGTCGAGAAAGACGTCGTGCTTGCCACTCACGAGAATGATATTACTATTGTGGATGATCCTTTGGCTTGGGTCGCACCCGAGCCTCGGAATAAAAAGTCGTGTTTTTTGCAGGACGCTTCTGACGCGTTCAATGTCCCTGAGGTTTGAGCAGAGGGTGCTCCTGCTAATTAGGCTCTTCAAATCCCTCACCGGAATAGGAGGATATACTCGGCATACCCGGGAAAACATTTTCCTATGTATTAGTTTTCTTTTAAGAAAACGGGGATGCGTTTTCCATTCAATGACTTCCAGGTAGGGGTTTTCCAATGGTTACAACTGGCACCTTCCCAGCTTCATTTGAATGTGCTTGCCTTCATGCGTGCATTTGAGATTGTATGCCCATAGCTTCAAATCAGTGCCTCATTGCCCCTCTTCTTCTGCATATTTCACTTGCAACGGCAGTCCATCAGAGGGCGATAAGCCTGAATGTCGTTTAAACAGTTTGAAAAACTTTTACGGCCGTATCTTGAATCTGTTTTCCACTTTAAAGAGAGGTGCTTCTTCGTGAAGCCTCTTACAGATGCGGGTGTGGCTTCCTTGTATGACCTCTCGGAAGAAATCGAAGGGGTCGGACAGTAATCCGGATGACGGCTAGGTTTCCTCTTGAATGGCAGTGGAAACACTTCGAGCAGAAGCCTGAATATTACACGGTGAAACTCGAGGACTTAGACGCCCAGGATCAGCTTTCTTATGACAAGCTGGTGGCTTATGTCAAGAGTTTCTCATCGACGAAGTGTGTGGACATGGACAACAACTTCCTTTTTGATGATAAAGGGGAATAACTCCTCGTTCACAGACTGATTAATACAAAAGCGCTGCTCGAGTGCTCTTTAGACGAGGAGGCTTTGAGACTTTTAGGCAGGGGATATGCCTGTGATTTTATTGTTGTATGTTTGTCTTGTGACTAACAGTTTATTTTTTATTGCATATTGGATGGCATTCCTCTCTGAACATTTACTCAAGTTAAGGCCCAAGAATGCATCCAACTTGGGGCCTAAGAATCGGGTTGCTCAACTTCAGGAGCAAGCCAAAACTTTCGCCCGTCCGAGTGGTTCTCCCTCCACTTCGAGGACTCGGGCTCCCCCTCCCGAACAACCAATAAAGAGGAAACGCGTGGAGGACCCCGAGTGTGTAGCGCCTATCAAAGGTGACAAGGGAGTCAGGGCAGTTTTCGTGTTGCTTCCCTGTTATCTCAACCGCAGTATTTTCAGTAGGGAAAGTTCTTTAGGTCTTCATGAGGAGGAAATGGAAGCAATCTTGTCTGAGGATAAAGAAACTCGACGGAAGAACTTGTTGGACGACGTGGCCACCGTGATGAGGGTTCTTGAAATAGCTTTGACGCTGAACGATGAGGCCACGGGCTCTCAAACCTCTCTTGACAAAGATTATGCCTGGATCCAGAAGCTACAAGAGATAAATGAAAAGTCGAAGGGTGACATCCTCAACCACGAGACAAAGTACGAGGAGCAGGTCCAGCTCCTCAAAGATCTGAATGAACTACGGCCTCAATTGGAGGTCGCGACTAAGGAGAACGAGCGACTGGCCTCCAGGGTAAAAGAGTTGGAGGAGATCTTGGCACCTGCCGATGAAGAGACTAACGCGGAGAGAGTCCTCGTGACTAGGAGAGAATTAATCGCACGGAGTCGCATGCTCGAACAAGACATCATGGATACTCTTAATTATGGCTTCAAAGTAACCGTGGAGCAGCTCAAGATCCTTAACCCAGGAGTTGAGTTAGTGGTTAAAGGTGTGAGGCCATTTAACCAAGTGGTTGATGGGAAGGTTTTTTATCCCCCCAACGACAGTCTCGAGGAGGAGAGTGATGGGGAAGATGAGATGTGAGAATTTTTCGGATCTGTGTACCCGCTTTTGTTTTAACTTGGATTAGTGGCCCGTGGGCCCATACATTTTGTTTTGTAAACTTGACAGGGGCTTCACCCGTTTTTCTTTTATTTGGGCCTGCGTGCCCGTATATTTGTAATTATTTGGACAACATTGGCCTTCATGGTCAGCTATTATGAATGCTTATTTAGTCTTTTTATGTTAGTTGTTGCTCGTTATTGTGCTTGACTTGATTATTTTGTGAAATGTGGTATTTCAACGAGTGGAGATTTGTGATCGACCTTAGTTGGGGTCGAAACATGTTAGAATGTGTTGAGGAAGCGTCGTAACATGTTAGAATGTGTTGAGGAAGCATAGTAGTAGTCTGTAGAAATGAGTTCAAGATCACGGTCAGGATCTTGATTTCATGGTGTGAGTTATCCATCGCGAGTTGGGTGTCCTTCCTGTTAGGTACTTCGACAGTGGAGCTCAATCTAGGTGTCCCCGTTGGACTAAGGTTCTTCTTGACCAATGAGCGGTGAACCCACATTTTGTTATTGGTTGGATTCTATGTTCGTACCTCAACATGCCTCTGTGGTCGAGTGTGCCCCGTCGTTTGTCGAAGAGGGCACGTCGACTGCTAGGCCTCGAGGTTTCTTAGGGACCTAGTTGTAGTATTGTTCCAACTTTGTAGCATTCCATGGTCGAGGTAGTGGTTCTCCACATAGGCGTTCGAGGTGATATTCTCTAGTCCCCGTAGCCCCACGGACGTGGTACGGCCCTTCCCAGTTTGCAACCAGCTTTCCTTCACGGGAATCTTTACGATTTTTCTGCAAGACTAGGTTTCAGACCCGGAATTCACATTTTATGACTTTGCTGTCTTGACAAAGGG